GGAGCTGATTAATAAGCAGTAAACATCAACAGGTGACCCAGCGACACACAGTATATTAGAAGTATGGTGATGATGATTTCACTAACAACAAACATGTAACTTACCTGCAAGTAGATGAGTACCTTGCACATGAAATAGCCTAAGAACCAAGTTTCAAAAATTGTCTGGGCGAAACTTGGAGGCAGACAGAAGACAATAGTGAGAAAATCCGCCACAGCCAAGTTGGTCAAGAAAAAGTTGGTGATAGTCCTCAGGTACTTGTTCCTCCAAACAGCGTACCCTACCAGGAAGTTTCCTCCGACTCCGGTGATGAACACGAGGATGTAAATCACAGATATAATCCATTCTAAGTTGGTGAGCTCCAGATAGTCATAGATGTTTTGCAGCAAATCCTGAAAAGTTAAGGTTGTTAATTATACAATTGAAAACGTGTGACTAGAGGTTTGTGTTGGAGTCAAACACTTTCAGTTCCAGATGGGTGTTTCTAGATCACATCTTGGACCAATGTTAACTAACAATCTGTTAAGTATCTGGCGAAGTGCTGAATGTTGAATTAGGAATCAACATCACAGCACTCGTGACATTCCCACAAGTGCTCAGTCCCTATCTTCTGCAGCGAAGAGTTCCAATTCCGATGGTACCAGTAATTGAATGATTGTATATCCGTTTCATCCTTTCCCTGAGTGTTGAGCGTCGATCACATACCATAGTAATTCCTCGCAGAGCCATTCTCTTTAGACCGTAATGATCTATCTGCCCCTCAGAACTGGGACCCCAAAATATCTAACTTGTCATACATCAAATCACTACCAAGTGGTGCAGAGCCAGCCGGTCTATATGTCTGCTTATTTTTAGGGAAGGTACTGTAATACATTCCTGTTATTAAGTATCAGCACGCTAACATTACGCGGCTTCTGTGCCTTAAGAGTTGCGAGTCCGAATCCTAATTCCAACGTACCGCCATCGAAACCCACTGCTGACTGTATAGACTTTTATCATTGTATGGGGCATCGCAGGTCGACCCAGTCTAAAATGGGTACCATGATGGATGTCCTGGAATAGTAAAGACTGTCGGCGTAATGCTGACCACATTACCCACCTAGTGCCGATAGTGTGGACAAATATGGGTGCTTTTCCCAGGCGCCTGAGGTGTAAAAAAAAAAAAGGATCTTTACTTTGCTAAGTCACCATTACAAGGACTCACGTGAATATACCGTCCGGTAACACAGGAGTGAGAGGGTATGAGAGAAGGCATTTTCTGGCAACAAAAGCGACAGCTACGGGATCAATCGTACTGAACACATTCTGAAGACCATTTCTGAACGAATACCGACAGGCGACACGAGGTTTGATGAAACAACTTGTGTAAGAATGTGTGAACAAGGATTCAGGTGTCGATCCGACAAGGAGGGATGCAGGATGGTAAGAGAATATAAACCCATTGATGACTGGTATTCTGTAACCATGCTCAGACTGACTGACTGACTGACTGACTGACTTTCTACCCCACTAGGACATTACACAAGCGATAAACATCCGATCACACAAAGTGCCCCCATGTGGATGGGGATCACCGTGGAGAGGTCACAGAAACCGCGTTCAGACAATTGGCCATTTTAGGCCTGCCTATATTGCTGCCCCTGGCAAAAGCCAGGATGGGGCTTCAAATAAAAAATTTTCATCCTAAAAAGCACGTTATGATAATAATGCTCAGAAGGCAGGAAGAGCAAGTTAAACGAGGTATCGCCAAACACGAACACTACGCGAATAGTCGCAAAAGAAGAATAAACCAACACAGAACTGGTGTCTTCGAGCGCTACACCCTGCGGGATTTACTGAAGAGGGGATCCGAGCACTTATGGACCGAGTGGTTCGACATGCAATGAGGATAATCTGTCGACTAAATAACAAAAGTATGTAAAAGACTGTTCCATATCTTCAGGTGTACTGGGCATATAGGGCTAGAGCTATATTTTATAGACCAATCAGCATTCGGTGGGTGATATGGTCAACATCACACTGGCTGCCTTGACTTCCCATGACTTTACCTGGTACCCATTTAAGGCTGAGTCGACCTGGGATGACAGGTCATGTTTGGAAAAACAAAGTCTAGTTCTGCCAGGACTTAAATCTACTATCTTCTAATCCACAGACGAGCGTCTAACTACCACGCCTCGATGGCACCCTAGGAAGAGAATCACGTTTGTATAATCCGTGCGCTTGCCTTTACAGCTGGCATCTTTACCTTAAAACAAATGCCACCGGAGACGGAGACTTTATTGGTAGACGCGGTGTGCTAGAATGTCAATTCTTCAATCATTCAATAACGGAGACAGATTAAGCGACAGTAGTCAGTGTAATCAAGTGAACTAGTATAACCGATCAGTGGAAGCAACCAAGAAATGTTGAATGTTGAATTTAGAATCGACATCATAGCATTCGGGACACTCCCATAAGCGCTCCATTGCCATATTCAGCAGCAAGTGAAGAGTTTCAATACCGATGGCATCAGTAACTGATGGGGTTTTTTTTTTTTTTTTTTTAAGTAACTAGAAACCATGAGCTTTTAACCCTTAGGCTCAGCATTATGGATATCGCAACAATTCGGCCTTGATTCCATGATAGGTACCGTAAATCTGGGAGAAATGTGGCTTTTCTGCCAACCCCCGGGGGTGAACCCGGACCACAAGAAGTTTGTCATCCGGTGGCAACTACGCTAAGCAGCCGGGCAACTGATTGTAAATCCATCTCACCCAGTCCCTGAGTGTTGAGCCATTGCGCTTTTATGTAATAAGTTCATGTCATTGGAGGTTAGGAAAAGAATGCTCGCAAACATCTATATATTGTACGCGTATGTGTATGTATGTATGTATGTATGTATGTATGTATGTATGTATGTATGTGTATGTCTATGTATGACACATAGATGGACTGTTAGCAAACCACTGAAAGACGCATAGATGGACGGAGGTATTAATGGACGGACGAACAGACAAACAGTTCCGTACCTGATCAGATATATAACACTGGTTAGATGGAATATCATAGTATTTACACGTGCTCCAGTCGATCGACGTGTTGCTGCTTGACAAACTGTCTATTGACGATATATTTCTAGCCATCATCTGAAAACAAATCAAGACATTTCTTTATATATGAATAACAAGTGTAAATGGGTGTCACTGAACTAAAGTCACTAGTCGCTAGTCTGTCGATCCGAAAATCTTCGGTTATCTCTTTTTTACATAGGTCAAAATCATTTGATCGGTTATCTCATCTTTACATAGGTCTAAAACATTTGATCAGTTATCTCTTCTTTACAAAGGTCTAAACCATTTAATTGGTTATCCCTTCTTTACATTGGTCCAAACCATTTAATCGGTTATCTTTTCTTTTATTAGGTTCAAACCATTTGATCGGTTATCTTTTCTTTTATTATGTCCAAACCATTTGATCTGTTATGCCTTCTTTATATAGGGATAAACCATTTGATCGGTTATCTCTTCTTTTATTAGGTCCAAACCATTTGATCGGTTATCTCTTCTGTTATTAGGTCCAAACCATTTGGATCGGTTATCTCTTCTTTATATAGGGATAAACCGTTTGATCGATTATCTCTTCTTTTTATAGGGATAAACCGTTTGATCGATTATCTCGTCTTTATATAGGTCCAAAACATTTGATTGGTTATCTTTTCTTTATATAGGGATAAACCACTTGATCGGTTATGGCTTCTTTACACAGGTCCAAAACATTTCATGGGTTATCTCTTTTTAAATAGGTCCAAACCATTTGATCGGTTATCTCTTTGTATAGTGTAGTACCGGTTCCATCACTTCGTCCTTGCTATCGACACGGTTTTTCTAAAATATCTTAGCTCTGAAGCTGATACTGGCCGATTTAATTCACCGAAATTTACAACAGACGTCTGAAAACTCAATGACTGGTGTACAGTACGCGACAGTCTTTATTTCCTGGATAATTTCCTAGCACATATTTAATGTACGTCGATCCTTTTAAAAGATCCCCCCCCTCCCCTTCCAACCACCAACCCCCCTATCCAATGAATTAATTAATTATGTAACGCCCCCAAACTGAAGTTGTGGTACAGTGCATCACTGCTGTCTTTAGACATATTAAGTTGAGAGGCTCCCAGTTTCTTCCATTATGTGACTCTCGTATACTGTGTAAAAAACTAAGAGAACACTGTTTCTTTTTTTTTTTTTTACAGTTCATACATTATCCACTGCGAGAATCGACTCTTGTCTGTGACTGCTATGTCTATGTTCTTTGTTATGTCACTGTTGACACATAAGGCATTCATAAGAGATCTCTATTGCTGTCGAATTGCTGCTTTTCTGCCTGTGGTATTCTATGTCGTTGTATATATCCTTTATGTCCCTTTCTATTGTCTTTCTGCAGGTTTTCTTATGTCATTCACGTCTTCTTGTGCATCTGACATCTATTGAAAAGCTGTACTTGCCAAAGTGTCACAAGGCATTCTGCAGACATTCCACAATATTTCTTGCTTCCTTCTTCGATGACAGTTGCCATGTGATAAACATTCTGTTTTTCTCTTCCGTTCTTAATTTTTTTTTTTATCCTGTTTGGTTAAAATATTCCTAGAATTCTTCGTACATCGATCCCTAGTACTGGAGGATAATTGCTCGTCCCCTTAGGCGAAGATTTAACTTCGAGGCCACCAACAAAACAGGTAAATATGTTTGTGTGAAAACGTTGTTTGAGTATATAACCAGGAGTCTATATTAACTTTGATGGCCTCAACTGTTTTTAGAACCCTTTTCCAACGTATTTAGTCGTGTTGGGATTGTAGGACTAGACCTAAATTTTACAGACCAAACGGCACTCAGTGAGTGATGTGGTCAACATCCCACTCAAAGCTAGGTCGATCTGGAAGCCAAGGTCATTTTCCAAAAGAAAAACTCTAACGACTTTCAGATCTGCATGCGAACATCTAGCCTTTAAGTTATGGCGGCTCTCTATACGGCTTGTGGATCTGAATAAAAAAAATTAGTAGTGTGCCTACGTTGGGTTTTGTCTCCTGGAGATGCTGGTGTGATGGGAATGTACAGACTGGCTACGCACCATCTGACGATCAACTGATAAATTTTCATGTCTTTAGTGCGCAAGTTAACCATGGTGAGAGGAATAAACAACACCATGTTGAGAGGAATAAACAACACCATGTTGAGAGGAATAAACAACACCATGTTGAGAGGAATAAACAACACCATGTTGAGAGGAATAAACAACACCATGCTGAGAGGAATAAACAACACCATGTTGAGAGGAATAAAAAACACCATGTTGAGAGGAATAAACAACACCATGCTGAGAGGAATAAACAACACCATGTTGAGAGGAATAAACAACACCATGTTGAGAGGAATAAACAACACCATGTTGAGAGGAATAAACAACACCATGTTGAGAGGAATAAACAACACCATGTTGATAGGAATAAACAACACCATGTTGAGAGGAATAAACAACACCATGTTGAGAGGAATAAACAACACCATGTTGAGAGGAATAAACAACACCATGTTGAGAGGAATAAACAACACCATGTTGAGAGGAATAAACAACACCATGTTGAGAGGAATAAACAACACCATGTTGAGAGGAATAAACAACACCATGTTGATAGTAATAAACAACACCATGTTGAGAGGAATAAACAACACCATGTTGAGAGGAATAAACAACACCATGTTGAGAGGAATAAACAACACCATGTTGATAGGAATAAACAACACCATGTTGAGAGGAATAAACAACACCATGTTGAGAGGAATAAACAACACTACGTTGAGAGGAATAAACAACACCATGTTGAGAGAAATAAACAACACCATGTTGAGAGGAATAAACAACACCATGTTGAGAGGAATAAACAACACCATGTTGAGAGGAATAAACAACACCATGTTGAGAGGAATAAACAATACCATGTTGAGAGGAATAAACAACACCATGTTGAGAGGAATAAACAATACCATGTTGAGAGGAATAAACATCACATCTCCCACACACCCATTATAAAAGAAGAAGAAGAAGGAGACAGTCAATTCTTTTTCGGCCATGTTATGAGAAGAGGGAAAATAGAACATGTTGTGACCACTGGAAAGATCTGTGGAAGGAGGGATAGAGGAAGACAACGACAGAAGATGCTTGACAGTCTTGTTGCATGGCATACGGGTGTGTCGGCACACGAACTGATACATGCTGCAGGAGATCGCAGATTATGGAGAGGCATGATCGCCTACGCCAGTCGGCAAGGCACCTGATGATGATGGTGCAGGTCGAGATGGGAAAAGGTTGGGGGTGATTCTGAAGGTGTTCTTATTCCAAGTTTCCGGTACCTAAACTAATGCATCATAGGTTTTTTTTTTTTTTTTTTTTTTTATTGTTTCTTAGATAGTACACTTTCTTTGAGTGTTTGTATTGTTTTTATTTGTTACATTAGTCTCATTCATCCACATGTTGTCGCTTAACAGAGTTACGATGTGGACTTCTTTATAAACCATCGTTCCTTATAGCAGATGTCAGGGGTTGAACGACACGTATTTTACCTGATACATGCTTAAGGAGACCTGGCTGGTGTTTTTGGCATTCGCCCACGTCTATACCCAGATGATGATGATTAAGTGACACCTGGCTGGGTGTTTGTAGATTTCAAGGACACGTCTATACCCAGACCATGAACTAATGTGACACCTTTTTTTATGGTGTTTATTGTTTCAGATGGTACACGTCTATACCCAGACATGACTTAAGTGTTGGCTGGTGTTTGTAGACATTAGTCTCATTTATACCCAGACATGACTTGTCACTTAACTGAGTTTCGATGGGACACGTCTATAAGACCATGACTTAAGTGACACCTGGCTGGTGTTTGTGGATTTCAGGACACGTCTATACCCAGACATGACTTAAGTGACACCTGGCTGGTGTTTGTGGATTTCAGGACACGTCTATACCCAGATGTGACTTAAATGACACCTGGTTGGTGCACACTCTTACGGGACTATAATTATAACATCTTTAGAGGTTCAACTGTGTGTCCTAGAATTTGCCCTGCGACTTTTTTTTTTAAATCTCAAGGTGGTAGACCTTTGTGCAGCATCCCCACGGAAACAAATTGATCGATCGTTAACGATTTAATGGGAAGATGTCTGGTATCAAAATAGTTGTTCCCCACCCCCTCACCCTCTCCCCCAAATTCTAATGCGACCATAAATCGAGCTCTGTAAATGTCACTGCACTTTCTCTTGGGAAATTAGAAGTGTTAGGAAGTGAAATTTAGGTCATAGATGGTAATGAGGGACGGTGGCAAGGGAGTTAGATGCCAGCCTCACGCACCAAGGGACATGTATCCCATCTTTGGTTCTGTTTGTGGTCTATAGAAAAACAGTCATAACCTTTACACTACATAGCTACTTCATGGAAACACGACTTCTATATTTCATCATGAACAACAGTTTTCCCTAGAGTAAATACTTTATGGTGTAGAAAAAAAAAATGCAAACAAATGAAGACATAATGAAAACGAACGATGACAACAAAGAGGAAATTTGGTGCTCCGATATAATTTGTTTCTATAGGATGTTGGGAATCCCCGTTGTTCAAAAACTGAAACCATTGTCCCATAGGAATTAATGTGAAATATATAAATTCATTCCCGAATGCATGAGGAAAACTTACGTTTACAACACAATAATGTACTCCAGGCGTATACTCGAACATAACAGCAATGAGCATGTATACAAACGTTCATTGAAGGGAACACACACAGTGCATATATTTATAACTAGCTGCACCGTACCCGCCACGCATTGCTGTGGCTGAGTCTGTCAAAAGGGAAAATAAAAGAAACAGAAAGCGCACTTGCCTAATATATTTAGTATCAGTCATTGCACATTTATATAGAGATAGTCTGGTATGCCGACTCTAGAACACGAGACATATTAGTGGTCGATTGTAGTGTATTGTCAGAGTGAAAGAAAAAAAAAGATTATTTGTTTATCGCATGATAAAGCATCAGTTGTGATTTAAACAGCATTAGGAAAGCTGACTACTATACCTCTAAATGACCACCAAATTCGTAACAACAACAACGCAATGAGAATAGCCGAGGAAGCGGTATTAAAATATAAATATTTAAGAAACGAGAACTTTAAAATAATGTTTTAAGCTCTCTCAGTTAACAGTATCTGTCATCAACTCACCTAGCCCCCACCCAACTCCGTCTCCCAATCATATCGTCCTTTCCGAAGTATGGAAAGGTCATTACCTGACGAAATATAGTAATTAAATTGAGCCTGGCATTCGTGTGCACTAAAATGACTAAAATGGGTAGCAATAAATAGTTTTTGATCCAGTGAAACGTCGCGGGCATACTAATTGGGGCTGCGCTGAAATTGGATGTGTCGGGGCGCAGATATAGCAGCCTAGCTGTAAATCCCAACAACATGCCAACCGCCCTTTTAAGGCCCCCCCAAAAAATGTGCCACTTGCGCGAAATCAAACACCGGTCACCCGCGTGACCGGCGGAATACAACTATATTATCAAAGACTCACTATTTTGGTTCAGATATCGCAGCCTAGTTCTAAACCACAACACAACGTGCCAACCACCCTATCAAAGGCGTACGAAAAAAAAAGATTACCCTTGACATGACCACTGAGCATCTCACCGCTGCTATATAGCACGCTAGCTGTAAACCACAAAACCGAGCGAGAAAAAAAGGCGCAGACAGCGCACCGTAGCTGTAAACCACAACACAACGTGCCAACCGCCCTTTTAAGGGCTCAACAAAATTAGCACCCGGCGAAGATTCTAACACCGGTCACTCGCGTGACAGGATAAATACTAACAACAAGGCTACCAAAAACTCGATTATTTGTAGAAATTAAATTATATATTAATGCGAAGTTTAGTGTTTTACACACACAGTCAAAGGTCGGCGGAACTTTAAAAAAATCCGGGCCGGCAACGAAAAAAAAAAAAATGAATTGATCGTTGCTGGAGCTACGTCGTTCCTGGTTTGTGCGACACTTACATAAAAAAACACCCGCGCGTAGTCGAACGCAAAGTTGTGTAATAATTTGAAAGTGATGGGTAAAGAACTTCGGAGATTAGCTGCAACAAACACGAAAAATTAACGTTTTTATTGATATAGATATATGCAAACACTTGAATTCTGAGTGTTGAAAGCTAGAAAGGAAGATGGAGATGAATGTGGGGATTTTTGCAATATTTCTCATTATTGAAAACATAAGGTATCGGTCATTCTCCGTACATCAGTGCAAGACGTTAGAGCCTACAGGGGAGCTGATATTGGCAGTGATCATAATCTTTGTATTGCCAAACTAAAAATTAAACTCAAGTCTCTACTTAACCCACCCAGAAATAAGAAAATAAACTTACAAGCCCTTTTGTCAAAAGATCATCAAAGCGCATTTAATGCAGAGATACTCACCACCTACTAACCAAAACTAATAATGCGGATACTACAAATAACATACACACAAATTGGACTTTTTCAAGAAACACACTGACGAACGCTGCAGTAAACACAGTTGGTTATGTACAAAAGCAGAAGAAGAAGTGGCTAAGCAACACACTTGGTCAAAAATCCAAGAAAGGAAACAAGCAAAATTAACACTTTTATCCAAAAAAAGACACATCTTCATACGAAAAATACAGCACGCTAGACAAAGAAGTGAAATCAAATGCAAGGAAAGACAAACAGAACTTCATACACGACCTCGCCTCCGATGCTGAAACAGCTGCCAAGATTGGAAACAACAAAGCCGTATTCCATATTATGAAACAACTGTGCAATCACTCACACAACTAAATACACCCATTAAAGACAAGCAGGGTAAACTACTGCTATCCGACGACCAACAAACAAAGCGATGGGCAGAACATTTCAAGAAATATTAAATAGGCCAAATCCTGACATCATTCCCAATTTAGAAGAAGAAATTATTACACCAACACTAGTTGCCTCCAGCGAGTCATTCACAATAGAGGAGATTAAAACAGCTATTAAAAAATTAAGTAAACAAAGCTACCGGAGAGGACAACATCTCAGGGGAAATGCTCAAAGCAGCGGATGAAAACACCCTGCAACATTTGCTCCAGCTGATGGATGAAGTGGCAAAACGAATACCCAGCCAACAATGGAAAGATGGTGTATCTTCAAATTACTAAAAAAGGTTATTTATCATTGTAACAACTGGAGAGGCATCACCCTGCTTTCGATACCAGGGAAACTATTTTGTAGTATGCTACTAGAAAGATTGAAAAAATCATAGAGAAAGATTAAGGGAAGAAAAAGCCGGTTTTAGATCCCGGTCATGCAAAGACCACATCTTTACTCTTAGAATAATTGTGAAGATTCTGCAGAATTCCAGTCGAAATTATTGATCAACTTTGTCGACTTTCAAAAAGCCTTCGACAGTATCCATCGTCCACACTCTGGACTTAACATCTATGGTTTCCCCATCAAATATATCAACATCATAAAATCTTTTTATAATGAACCACGATGCTGTGTAAGACTGATTCCGGCAATGACTGGTTCCCGTGGAAACAGGAGTGAAGCAAGGCTGTGTCCTATCGCCGATGCTTTTTGGTATAGCAATCGACTGGGTGCGCAATGCATAAATAAACGCAAATTTAGGCATTACATGGGTTGACTTCTGGAAGACCTCTATTCTCCGAAACTAGCACTCCTGAGTTTCAGAACACACAGACGCCCAAGAAAAAATCAATCGACTCCAGAATTTCTCAGAACAAATTGGACTAAAATTAACACCGCAAAAACAAAAATTCTAGACCTTACCAACAGTTCAGTTGATATCACGCTGAACAACAACAGCCATGAAAAAGTCAACAGTTTCACTTATCTAGGGAGCAAGATGTCATCTACAGGAATACCGCACCAGAAATATCATTTTAGAATAGCACTGGCATCTAGTGCCTTCAATAAACTGTCTAACATCTGGAAATCAAAGACACTTAGCAAACACACAAAACTCAAGATCTTCAATTCTTGTGTGATTCCATACTTACCTATGGATGCGAGAGCTGGAAATC